CTCACTCCCTGGAGCTTAATCTCCTGACCTCAGCCCTGTGTCACTGCAGCCCCAGGAGTAATTCTTGGTGTTTACATGGGTCAGTAGCTAGACAAGGACTTGACTTGGATTTTCCCAGCGGGTCACACGGTGATTTGCTAATCAGCAGTAGCACAAACACTGCCAGGCCCCTCATGGGTCACTTGCTGGGGACAGGCTAAACAAACCAGATGAAAAGCAGCATGGGTGAGTGGATGGGATTGGAAACAACTGTACTGGAGTCCCAAGTCTGTGTCTGAAGGGGTTTCAGGGCTTGTGAAATGGAGAGGTAGTTAGCTGGGATCTCAGCTACCTACCCAGGGTAGGAGAGAGCACATGGGATGGACCCTGTGTGAGCACATGAGCTTGAACTCACCAGGGCTGGGGAGAGCCCCTCAGGCTAAGTGTCAGGCAGTGCTCCAGGGAGGTTGGTCACACCTTCATTTAAGCAACTGCTCTGGTTTGCCCCCTGTCACCTTTGTTTACCTGGAGATATGAACTATCCCTGGAAATCCCACCTCAGCTGCAGAGCAGTGAACTGCACACAGCAGCAGCACAGAGGGGACCTGATCTCCCAGCTGGCAGCTGCAGAAGGTGGTGTTTGTGGTTCTTGAGGTATCACTCCCTTCCACCCTCAGCCACGGCACAGTTAAATACAGGGGTGAGTGTGGCACAGAGTCACTGAGCCCTGCAGAGTGTGCCAGCTGCTGGGACGGCGTGGCCTGACTGTTACTGGCACAAGATTGAGGGCACAGCCTGGGCCAGGAGTGTGTAAGATTGGCTGTTAAAGCACCTGGAGAGGTGAGATGCCAGCAGTCTGTGTTGTCCAGAACCATGTGAGAAAGAATTTTACAAATCAAAGTCTTAAACTGTTCTCACTTACAAATCAGCAAATGATAGAACCACAGAATATCCTGAGTCGGAAGGGACCCACAAGGGTCATCCATCCAACTCCTGGCCCTGCACAGACACCCCAACAATCCCACCCTGTCCCTCAGAGCGTTGTCCAAACCCTCCTGCAGCTCTGGCAGCCTTGGGGCCGTGCCCACTGCCCTGGGGAGCCTGGGCAGTGCCCAACCAGCCTCTGGGGGAAGAACCTTTCCCTGAGATCCACCCTGAGCCTGCCCTGACACAGCTCCAGCTGTTCCCTGGGTGCTGTCCCTGCTCCCCCAGAGCAGAGCTCGGAGCTGCCCCTTGGGACCAGTGGGGTGCTGTTCAGCTTTGGGGGAGCTGTAGGACTGTGGAGGTGCTGTGGGGCTGGGGGAGCTGTGGGGCTTCTGACTGATAATGTAAATGCCAGATAGGTCAGTGCTGGAGGGATCAACAGCCATCATTAGGTTCTTACAGGGTTTCTGGCTTGTCCCTACTCCCTCTCCTGCCACACCAGGGCAGGAGCAAAGAGGGGAGAAGGGAAGAGAGAAGGTGGGGAGAGGATTTTTTGCAGGGGGGGGTAGCAGGGAACAGGGATTGTCACTGCAGCGTGACCTGCTGGGTAGAGCTGGAAGAGAGATCTGTGGTCCTGCCTGGAGCAAGGAGGGGGAAGAGCATCAGTGCAAGGCCCAAGGTGCCAGCCTTTCCCACGGGCATCCTGCTCCAACCAGGGACACTCTCCTCACCCAGGAGCTGAGTCCTCGGGGCTGTCCCACAGGTTGGGGCAGGGCAAGGAGGAATCTGCCTTCCTATCACAAGTCCCCACTGTGAGCCAGAGAGGAAGGAATTCAGGATTCAAAAGTCCAGAGAGAAAGGGAGCGCAAATAAAGAACCACTGAGGGAAGATCTCTCTGGTGAAGGGCTCCTGCTGGACCCTGCAAGTTTTGTCAGCACCTGGGCTGTGTTTCTCACCAACAGCCAACCAGCCAAGCTAGCTGGGAAGAAAACCTGCCTCTGATTTCCAGAGCAAGCACCTTTGATCTGGAATAGTCAAAGGGACGCTGCCAGCTTCCCAGGAAGTCATTTGCATGGAGATGCTGTGACTGGAGCCTGGAGGAACCTCTGCGGGAACCAACCGCCCTCCCTGCCCGGGTGGGAGACCACGGGGGGCTGAGGCAAGGACAGCACAGCCCAAAATGAGCAGGGCAGCTGCTGAAGGGCTGATGTGTTCCCACAGGAACAGGGGTCACACAGGAGCTGTCTGGGGCCACAAGGTGACCCACTTTACCAGCGCCTGCTAAAGTGGGAGGAGAGGATGGGGTGTGTGCACACAGGCACGGGGGTGTGCAAGAGGGGCACAGAGAGGGGACAGGAGACCCTGTGGTGATTTATCTGAGTGGTATCAGCATTCAGTTCCTTTTCCCCCATAAAGCAGCACTGTGCTGCACTTGCCTAGGGATTGTCACCTCCTGGCTAAATGCCCTTCTGAATGGGATTGCTGGGAGCTGCCTGTCTGTCATGAACTCAGCCCTCACCAACACAGATCTGGGAACCACTGCCATCCCAAAGGGTAATAACTGACATAGGAACTGACATCTGGTCACAGGTGTGTCCAGTGAGCGAGCAGTTCTGCTCTCCATTGTGCTCCAGAGGAGCCAGGAAGGATTTCACAGTGGTGGGTTATGAAATCATAGAATCCCAGAATGGTTTGGGTTGGAAGGGACCTTAAAGCTCATTTTGTTCCACCCCCTGCCATGGGCAGGGACACCTTCCACTGGACCAAGTTGCCCCAAGCCCCGTCCAGCCTGGCCTTGAACACTTCGAGGGATGGAGGATCAGCAACTTCTCTGGGCAATAATAACCCCTGTAAGAAAGAATTTCCTCTCTCCTTCCCTCTGCAAGCTGCTTCATACCTTCATACCCAGGGATTTAGGGCTTGTGTTTGTATATTACTGTCAAATAAAATTGTGAAATGTTCAGGGTATGTAACATCTTGATTTTACCTTTATCTTTTTGGAGAAATCCCATGATCAGTGTGGTGGATGCCGATGGATCTTTTTGCTCTCTCTTCCATGCTGATCCTTCCTGGCCCGTCCTGCTTTTGCTGCATTCCTTGGCCGCTGTTCTACTCTGTAGCTCAGTGTTTCACCACTGAGAGCAAACACAGAAGCAAAATGCTCCTTAAATTCAGGTTTCTGGAGATGATCCCTAAGAACTTTCCCAGAATATCTGTGGTATGAAAGAATCGGGGTCACTGAGAGCATCGCGGTGAAAGAGGCTGTGGCTGAGGCAGCCTGGGGGTGTAGTGGGAACAGCAGCCCCAGGGACACAGTGTTGGTCACCCTTGTGACCACCTGCAATGGGGGGCTTACAGGCAGATCTGCTTTGCCTCTCAGTCAACCTGCCAGTGTGAGGCTGAGGAAGTGGCAATGTTGTTCTGCCACGAATCTGGGGGTGAAAAGCCTCTTAAATCAAGCAAGTACTGAAGGGCAGAGAGCACCAAACACCCTGTACAAACCCAGAGCCCGCTGTCCCCGTGCCCCGGGCCAGCCCACTCCCTGCCCGCCTGCCAGGACCTGCAATCTGCAGCACGGGCAGACTCAGCTTTCCAGGCTGAATCTGCAAGGGCAACATTGACCTAATTAGTCTCTGAAACAAACGGGAGAGAAAGACTCGCCGCCGTCTGTTACAGCATGGAATGCTCTCCCTCTCCCTTCGCTCTCCTGGCCCCGGGGATTCATCCCAGGCAGGTGCATCTCTGATTGCAGCAGGTTTTGAATCCTCTCCCTCTCCTCGCGGGGATGCCACATGCTGTCTTCTGACCTCGTTAGCTTCTCCTCCTGTTCCACTTCCCCGCTCTGCACTCGCAGCCCCGCCGATGTGCTAATTACCACAAAGCAATCTGCAGGAATGCTCCTGGAGCGGGGTGAGGGGAGGGAGAGGAGGGAGGGATGCTCTCAGGGAGCCGTGGGGGATGAAGCGACTGGGTGAGCAGGGAGCTCAGTTTAGCAAGGCTGATGTTTGAGCTCACCCAGGCTCTTCCCCTGCACGGGTCGGTGCCGAGTGTGACACAGGGATGTGAGAGAGACAAGGTGCTCCCACCCACCCAGGGGGTCTGCAGAGGGGCTGTGCTGCCTGACCACAGGCCAGCTCTGGGCTCACACATCACCACAGCAGCTTATGTGGTCGTGGGACACGAGCTCCACCCAAGAGCACTGACGTGCTGCACGGGATGAACCTCCAAGGCTGACCTTCACTGATTATCCATCCTCACTTGGCTCCAAATTCCCCTTGGACCAACTCCTGCAGGGAGACAGGGCAGGGCTGCAGGGCTGCACGTCTGTCCACGGGCAGGCCTGGTGCCAGGTTCCTCAGCCCATGCTCTGGGCAGGGCAGACACAAGCTGGCTCTGTAGGAGAGCTGTGGAGCCGTGGTCTGTGCACTGCTGCTCCCACATCGGGCTGTGAGGGAAGGGAGAGATGTTCACCCCAGGACTGCATCCCTCCAAATGCCATTAATGGCCTTCCAGTCTTCCACAGGCTGAGGTGGAGTGTCCTTGGAGCGCAGGCAGAGATCCATCAGAGGTTCATCCTCCAGCACTGGCTGAAAATGAGGAAACTGTAGGGGGCTGGAGTTTGGGTTCATTTTGTCCAGATGGAACGACAAGATTTTCCTCTTCTTTCCTAATCGATGAGAGACAGTTCAAAATGGAGAGAGGAAAAACAACAGTTAAGGAAACAACCAGATCCTGATGCCCTTTGCCTTGCCACAAGTCTAAATCTGTTATGGCTGGTGGGATTGTATTTATATTGAGCCAGTGTGAGTGAAATTAGTGTTGGCTTCACTAAACTAAAAGCAAGACAAAGAAAGAGAAAAGCCAGTCCCTCGGACTGTGTCTGAGGGGTGATAGAGGGAGAGGGACAGGAGGTAATTCTCAGGAAGGACATCCTCCTAGTGAAGTCTGTGGGAGCGAGGGAAGACATAAGGTGCCACCTCACCCAAGGGCAAGGCCTTGCTGCCATCAGGATGGTGCCCTTGGGGTCTGAGCACTCCTGCACAGTTCCATGATTTGTGTGATCCAGCTGATGCTTCTCTCTTTTTTCTGATTTCAGACCTTGTCAGGACTCAGATCAGCGAGGAATCAAGCGCAGGAAGAGCAACCACAGGGCTCAGCTGGGGTCTCACATTTTCCTTGGATTTAATATTTGTGTCATGTTTGGACTGCAGAAGCTCCTGGATTAATCCAGCCACAGTTCCTCTCTGAATTCCTCTGAGGGTGCATTTTGCTGGGCGGCTGTGTCTGCCCTTTGGGGCTGACCCACCTTATGGCTGTTTGAAGGAAGTGCCCTTGCTCTCTGCTGCCATTCTCTACCCTTGTCTTTCAAAACTTTCCATTGTTCTCTTTTCTCTTTTTGCTTCTACTTTAATGACTTGGTTAGTGGACCCCCCACCAGCCTCTAGCCTTCTTAGACCTTTTTGCATATCACATGCTATGTGAAAAGCAAAGGTTGCTCTATCTGCCTGCATGTACTCACATTCACTTCTCACCTCATTTATTTTGGATCTTGTTTTCTCTTCTGTAGCTTCACAACTGTGGGCCACATCCAGTGGTGGTAGAACCAAGCCTGATCCACTGGTGTACACTTGCTGGAAGCCTGTCACTGTGCACTGGTTCTCTGACTTTGCTCTTCTGGCATCTTTTCTATTCTGCAAAATAGTCTATGATTCATGTCAAGGTGCTTTCCTGGAGTCTGAGCCTCAGACTAAAGGCAGCAATTAACAGTGGAGGCTTAAAAGGGCTTAAAGGACTGTTGCACCCTGGACTCTTTTTGCTCCTCCCAAGAGCCATTCAGCTGCATCTTCCCCCAGCGACCTGCTCAGAGGTCACTGAGGACGCTGAGACTCTTCATCATGGTGTTTTGTGCCTGTTCTTACCTATATCCACACACAAACACAACAAGGAAATACTACAGGTTGTAGCACTGGAGCAGTGCAGGGGCCAAACCACACAACACATCCCTCTGGTGACAGGTCATCATAAAGAAAAGTCTTCCTGGGTCAGTAACAACAGCCTGCTGTGCTTGCAGGGTGGGGGAATCATCACTGGGGCTTTGGATCCCCCAGGTGGGATGTGCTCCCCTCTGTACCTGTGCAAGCTGCTTCCAGGCTGAGCCCTGGCCCAGGGCACGGGCAGTGCTGCCTTTTGATCCTGGTGGGATTACTCCTGTGCTCCTGAATGTGCCCCTGGCAGGGCTGCTGCACTCAGTGTAGCAGTGTTTTCCTCTGTAAACCTACAGACACTTCTAAGAGCAGTGTCCAAGATGCTTCCAATGACATCCCTGCACAGTGGACACTTTTTCTGGACACAAGTTCAAGCTGTTCAAAAAGCCTTGGAGCAGCTGTGTCTGCAGAGCAGGGCACTGGGAGAGTGAGCTGGGAGCAGATCTGCAGGTGCAGCAGTGGAAATGCTGCACAGGCTATTCAGACCTTGGAGGAAATTCCATGTCCTTGCCAGATGGCATCTTTACCTCTGAGCTGTGTCCTCTTCACCTCGGGCATCCTCTCTCCTCCCAGTCACAGGGACTCTCCTGCCACTGCAACAGGAGGTGGGTTTGCTCCTTACTCAAGGAGTCTGACCAGGTAGTCAATGCCTCTGGCAGCCTTTGGTCCTTCCTCTTGAGGCTGGAGGTGTTGAGAAGGACATAGAGCCAGGGCTGTGAGCCTGAAGCAGCCCCAGTGTTCAGTTGCTTCACAGGACTCCTGGGATTGCTGCTGACTTGGAACAGTCTCAGCAGAACTAGCTCCATGTTCATCTTAGACTCACTGCTTCCCTTGATGGTTGAAGGAACCCATTAACCCATTAACCCTTTCAGGCTGTCAGAGATCCTGTGGGTCTGCTTTCCATGGCCACCATGTGGGGCTGTGGCTGCTCACCTCTCTCTGCTGGGAGAGAGCTTCCCAAAGCTGCTGGGAAGGTCCATGAGGACCCACAGCCAGAGGTGCTGGTGCTGAGCAGAGCTGACCAGGGAGCACCAGGCCCAGCTCTGAGGTGTCCCTGCAGCCTGACTCATCCCCCAAAGCATGGCCAGGCAAAAACAGCTTCTGGAGGGGGCACTGAGTGCAAACCACACTTAGGTGGAAGGTGTAAAGATGTCTCACTTTCTCATGGTGCTTGAGGAGGAGATGCTGCTGCAAAATTGATATTTTTGGCATGAAAAATACTTCATCTTCTTTCCTCTCTACTCGTAATGACTCATCTCTGAAGTCCACACTGTGCTGTTCCTTTGTGGGGCTTAGACCTGCCCTGGCAGAGGAAGGGGAGTGTGAGAGCTGCCCAATGTGGTTTTTGTGCCCTCCACTCCAGGACAGCAGCACAGAGTGGGGTTGCACCACTGTCCCTCATCACCAGTCCATCCCACAGCAGGGATAGTGCCTGTCTCTCTCCTCACAGGCTCTGGAAAGGACCCAAACTCCAAACGTGACCACTCATTAGGTGGGACAAATGCCACCAACACCTTAGCTTTGCTCCCACCAAAATGTTTATTTAACAGGCATCTCTGGAGTTGTTTCATAGACATTTTGGTATTTGAATGCACGTGAATGGGAGGTGACTCAACTCTTCCCCCCCAATCTCCTTGCAAAGGGCACATCTACAGTGTGATCAAATCCTGCTTTGACAAGCTGATGATAAACCCTCCAGGCCTCTGCAGGACATGATGCTCCTACATGCTTCTGAAGCACATCCACATGTCAGAGTGAGGGCAGGAGGCTTGTGAATGGGCATCTGACTAAGGCAGCTCTCAAAACCGGGTGGAGGTCCCTTCGGGGGGCACTGGCACACTCTGCCATGTGAAGATCCACATGGAGATGCCCTGTGGTACCCAGCAGGTCCCGTTGCAGAAAGCCAGCACCTCAGTGGGCTTGTTTGAGGAGATCTGTACACCTGTGACAAACAGGAATGAGCCCTTGCATGTGCCCCTGGGAAGGGCCAAGTCAGCTGTGCTGGTGTGTGGAGCCAGCAGGCTCTGCAGTGCTGTGGGACTCTTCTGCTTGAGGGTTTCAGGTGCAAACCGCTGCTGCTGATCCCTGGGAAGATCTCCAGCCCTTCTTGGAGGTTTGAATGTGTCCAGAGAACACAGACACAAGACAGAGAGCCAAGGCCATGGCACAGGAGGTGTGTGAGCCCTTGTGAGTCTGCAGAAGGTGCTGACTGCAGTGCCTGGTGCCCCAGCCAGAGCTCAGCCCACAAACGCCAGAGCTCTGTGGGCTTCGTGGCCTCCACTCTCAGAAGGTGCTGCAGGCAGATGTGCTCCCACATCTGGGCACACTGACAACACAGAAACCCTCTGAAATCCCCCCTGTAGACATCAGCAGCCACAGGGCTCATGTGGAGTGTTCCATGGCACTGACCCCTCTGCACATCCCTCGTGGGATGGGCTGGTGGATCCTTCACCTGGCCCAGACCCCTTCTGCAACCACAGAGCAAGCCCAGGAAAGTGTTTGCCCCCCCATCAGCCTGAGCTTTGTGAAAATACTCCTGTTAGTACCCACACAAACACACAGAGAACCTCTTTGTTACATCAAAGCCTGACATAATTTAATTGTATTTTAGTCAAGTGGCAATACATAGTTGAGGGAAAACCATGTGCTGCCTGAGGGATTTTTGCTCTTCTGCAGTATCTTGTGGAGAGAAGAGGCATCACTTTCCCTCCCTGCGATGGTCACTTATTTCCAAGGGATACTAAAAGATTCATGGATGTTTTTGAGCAAATATTTTACTTCTGACATGTTTCTCACCCAGCAGAGAAACTATCAGCTCTGAAGAGCTCAGGACTTATTTATAAATGCCAGCTCTGCTCCAGGCAGGGAGATGTCAGGACTGTCCCAGAAGGGGAATTTATTGCTCAACCACACTTTGCAGGTCTCAGAGACATTCAGGTATACCTGGCTTGTAATTGCTCCATTCTACTCCTGCTTGGCACCAGAGTTTATCCAAGAAAGCACTACATTTTATTCCCACAGCAGTTGTTGTGTCTGGCAGAGGGAGTCTCTGTTCAAAATACTCGCAGACATTCCTGACAAAGCGGCAAAATGCTGCTGCCAAAACTGATCCTATCCCTTAATTGCCTTTGTGGGGTTCAAAGGTTCCTTTGTTAATGGACAAAAATTCTTCTCTTGGGCCCAGAAGCAATGAAAGAAATGGCAGAACCATGTACCCCAAAGAATAGATCCTGCTGAATAAAGTCAACATGCTGAATGACTCATTAAACACTTCCAGCCCTTCCAGAGGATCCTGGTCCTCCATCATTTATCCCCAATCTCCCTGGTGCGATTTCTCTGACCATGAGTTACACTCCTCCTCTATGCAGGTGTGATTTAGGGGCACTGTCTTTGTCACAGCCTTTGCCCCCAGCCATGGTTGCTCCCCAGCTTTAAGCTCCAATGTGCCTGAGGCCCGTTTGCAGGTGTAGGAAAGTGTCAATCCCTCGGGTGGCTTTGGAAATGCTTCTCCCAAAATTTGTGCAGATCGGAGCCAGCACTGTCCTGCTGAAGCAGCCTGAATTCCACCCATGAGCTGCACAGACAAAGCTGTGGGGTGTGAACATCAGGAGGAGGAAAAAGTGTCTGGATAGGCCAGAGGATCAGAGAAAGCAACACAGAAACTAACGGGGTTCAAGCCTGCCGTCCTCAACGCCCACCCCAACTCCAGTCCCCATGGTTCCCATCTAGCAGCCCAGAGTTTTCTGAAGCCTTTTTCTTTAGCCTTTTTTATAGGTTTTCTATAGCTGTAGGTTTGTGGTTTTTTTCCTCTGGGTTTTCCATAGTTTTCCTATAGCTTTTTCAATATTTTCCTCACAACAAGACAGACATTGAGGGGCTGGAGCATGTCCAGGGAAGGGAACAGTACTGGGGAAGGGGCTGGAGCAGCAGGAGCAGCTGAGGGAGCTGGGGGGGCTCAGCCTGGAGAAAAGGAGGCTCAGGGGGGACCTTCTGGCTCTGCAAGCCCCTGACAGGAGGGGGGAGCCGGGGGGGGGTCGGGCTCTGCTCCCAGGGAACAAGGGACAGGAGGAGAGGGAACGGCCTCAGGCTGTGCCAGGGGAGGGTCAGGTTGGATATTTGGGAAAATTTCTTCATGGAAAGGCAGGCATTGGAACAGGCTGTCCAGGGCAACAGTGGAGTCACCATCCCTGGAAGTGTTCAAAAAACGTGTGAAAATGACCCTGGAGGCCATGGCTTGGTGGTGAACACCAGTGGTGGTGCTGGGTTGATGGTTGGACTCCACGATCTCAAAGGTCTTTTCCAACCTTAGCAGTTCTGTCATTCCATGATTCTGTAGAAGCTAGGACAGGATGCACATTCCCTTGAGGATGTCTGGGGTGCATGGGGACATCTCACCACGGAGGTGGTGCTGCCATTGCTGCTGGTGAGAAGCGCTGAGTGGTCCATCAGCAACAACCCATCACAGGAGGACATGGAGCTGGAGCAGCCAGTGACACCTCTGATAAAAACCCTCAGAATGAAACAGTGCACGGGGCTGACAGCAGTGATCCACACCTTCTCTCCTGGGCAGGTGAGGCTCAGCAGGACCTCACAGCCTTTCCTGCCTGCCAAGCCCCCGGGCTGTGGCT